TCTGGGAAAGGGTGGAGGAAGTATCCGAAGTTGGGGGAGAGAGGCACTGAGGCAGGGAGATCTGCTACCTGGGCGGCAGAGGCACAGCTGGGGCATGGCTAGGTGGACCTTATGGGCCAAGTCCAATGATCTCCCTCAGGCAGCTCCCAATGCCAGCTGGCCCTGGAAACCAGGCAGATAGGCACAACCTCCACCCCAGGAGTCTGAGAACCCACTGGAGGGTTTTAGCCTCCGGGAAGCACTGTCTCAGAGAACCCTGACCAGCCAAGTTGCAGAAGAGAGACTGGGTTTAGGATTGGGGTTCCCCACTCTTCACCCATGCTCTGCCCACGATAGGGCCTTTGCAGTAGAGCAGGTAGAATCCTGGTTCTCCCGCATAGTAGCTGTGTGTGTGAGACCTTAGACAAAGTGACGTCATTTTCCTATGCCTCAGTTTCCCACCAGGATTCTCAACAGGGTGGCCTTCAGCAGCTCTGCCTTCATCAGGATGCACTTCCTGAGCTCCCATTAAGGGCTGGACAAACCAACAAAGTGGTTGAGTGTTTCTCACGTGCTAGCTCTAAGCACTGTACACTACTTAACTCGTATGCCTTACAACAAACTCATGATTATCCCCATTTGGTAGCTGTCCTGAGGTGTGGGGTGGGGTGCCTCTCCAGGCCCAGTCCCTGCCACAGGAGGCCCTCAGGGGAGGCCCTGAGCTCCCTGGCCTGAGCCTTGCTTCCAACCCCCCCCTCCTCCCCCCCCCCCCCCCCCCCCCCCCCCCCCCCACCTTTCTGGCTTCTAGAGGCCAGAGGAAACAGCAACTTTCTTCGCTGAGAAAGTGTTGTGGGTCTCAGGCAATTGGGGGTTTTTAGTCAACCGTCAGAGGCGAGGGAGTTTCTCTGCTTCAGCATACACACAGCCTGCAAGCCAACCGCTGCGGTCTGCAGGAGAATGCCGACTGTGTTTATTTTTCACCTGAGCCTGCAGGAAGTGGGGCCCGCGGGGTTGGGGGCCGAGGAGTGGAGGCAGCCCAGCCAGAGCTGAGGCGACCTTCCTCAGGACTCCCCATTTCCACCTGCTCCTATTCTTGGTCCCCTTCCTTGGCTCCAACCCACTGAACAAGACGGGGGTCTCGGGGGAGGGGCACCAGAAGACAGCATTCCCAGCCACGGGCTGAAGGAGATGTCTCTGTGGGGCCAGGACCACCTATGGGACAGTAGATTTTGATTCAATATGGAGAAGAGTCTTGTAGTAGGAAGAGTGATGTGGTGACAGGAAGGGCAGCCAGCAAGATGCTGTGCAGCGCCACTGACGGGGACAGAGGGGTGACTGGGTAGCTGTGTGCACCAGCCGTGGCCTCCCTCCCAGCCCTGGGATCTCTGACTCCTGACAGTCATGGTGGTGGACAGAGTGGAGCCACAGGCAAAGGCTGAGGGCAAAAACCAGGGATGCTAGAGGAGTCTGAACAAGTGGAGCCTCAGCAAGGAAACGGAGGCCCAGAGATGATGATGGGCCACCACGTTGGGATCTCTTATGGCGTTACGGTGTGCCTCACTCTGTGCTCGGCACTCTGCCCTCAGAGATGAAGTTGTGCCACTGAGATGCTTGGCACCTGTAAGACAGTCAAACCAAGCCTGCCACTTTCCCTTGGGAGGGTTGAGCAGGGTCACCATCAGGGGGAGGGACAGCGGTGGTTCAGTCATCCATGTACATTTCAGTCCCCAGGCAACCCCATCCTGCTGTCTGGGAAGCCTGGCCCTGGGACAGCCTTGTGCTGAGGCCCTGGAGCGGGACGTTCTGCAGGCTGAGGGGGGCGTTGGGCACTGGGCCGAGTGCCAGATGGTTCCTCCCGGCTACTACCACTAGGCATGGAGAGTGAGGCTGAAAGGTCACCTGAGTGAACGTGGGAAGGACTGGCTGGGCCCTCCGTGCCCTGCCCTGGAATTCTGGCCGCCACAGGGCCTCTAGCTGCTGGTGGGCTCTCTGCCTCACCCCTGCCCACCCAGGACTTGTGTGGTTTGGCTGGAGTCACCTGTTTAATGAGGCTTTTTTCCAATTCCCAGAGAGGCTGATGGATAGGCCAAGCCCATTGCCCACCATGTAGCTTTGTCCGGCCCACTCCCTTCCAGTTCCCTTCACCGACATACATACCATGCGAGTGCCTATAAACTGGGTCTGTAAGGTTCCCTGGGCCCAGCCTGAGCTGTGCTAGAACCAGGCTCCAGGTAGCAAACCTGAATCTGAGCCAGCCCTTTCCAGAGCCTCCTGGGGAAAGCTGGCCTTCCCCAGAGGAGTGGTTAACTGAGAAACCTGCCACAGAGCAGAGAGTGCGGTTGTCATCCTAGATGACCTTAGGGCCCTAGCCTTGCTCCTAAGGCTTGTCCACTCCACCAACCTGGCGTACAGTTCTGAGAGCTGAAGAGCCTGGAACCAGGGCTGGATGGCAAGACCTTCTCTGAAGCAGGAGCTTAAAATTATACAATAGCTGAGAATCCCCATGGCCTGGGGGCTCCATGCTTTCCAGTCTCGGCCCCTGCAGCCCTCCAATGAAGATGTTAAGAGCAGGAGTTCTGGTATGTCTCTGTAAGATCAGCATTGGACTGCTAACCACAAGGCTGGTGGTTTAAACCCACCAGCTGCTCCTTGGAAACCCTATACAGGGTCACTATGAGTCGGAACCGACTTGATGGGCACTTAACAGCAGGAATGAGGGTATGTAGGGCAGAGTCAGCTCGGGAAGAGGAGGGGAGTCAGAAACCAGGCCAAGAAATGGTTGTGAGGATAGAGGGAAACCAGGTGAGTGTGGAGTCCTGAAAGCTAAGAGAAGAAACGATTTCGAGGAGGAGGGCGAGCTCAGTTGTGCCTCATGCTGCTGAGAGGTTGGGCTAAATGAAGATGAGAACTGGCCACTGAATTCAGCAGTTTGAACTCACTGATGATCCAAACTTGAGCCGACCAGTGGGCAATGGGGCAAGAGACTGTCTGGACCATGTTGAGGGGAGAACGAGAGCTGGGAACTAGCGGTGGCAAGAGTGTACAGTTCTGTGGTACAAGGTAGCAAGATGTAAGGTGGTAGCTGAGGGAGTTACAGATGGGAAAGAGAAAGGCCCGCTTGGTCCGTGGTGGAAATGAGATGGATTCTTACAAAGTGCCAGGCACAGCGCCTGGCACATGGCAGGTCTTCAGTACATGTGAAGACACATGTTCTCACACAGCTCCCCTGCCAACCACTCTTGCATTCCACCACTCCCCACCTTTGTTTCCCACATACAATGGGGCTTCTAAAAGTTCATGGAAAAATTCCATTATCCTTTCATTCCATTTTCCACGAACTTTTGGAAGCCCCCTTGTACACTCCCAGTTTGCCTCAATTGTGTCTGGGGTCAGCGCTGAAGATAAAGCAGAAAGAGCATGAGCCTCCTCAGCTCACCCAGGAAGCCTGGTCCTCCCTGGAAGCAGTCTGGGAGGGGAGGGGGGTCCTCTCAGCAGGAAGGACAGGGAAGTCACAACACCCAGGGCTGGGAACAGCATGGCCCCGTCAACCCTCTTCTGTCATGCCAGCTGTGTCCCAGACAAACCCCTTTTTATATAACCAGACCAGGGTGTGAGACCCACCACTAGGGCACCTGGGAAAGCCCTGTTGGTGGCAGTTCTCAGGGTTTTCTCCTCCCCTTCAAAGCTGGATGAGGGGCTTCTTACATGCCCCTTCCTTGTTTCCTGGCACTTGAGTCATTGAGCTCTTAGATCTCTCTTCATCGTCACATCCACTCTCTGATCATCTCCATTTTACAGAGGAGGGAGGGGATGCTCAGAGACAGGAGTAACTTCTCTAAGGCCACACAGTTGGATTGAGTGAGGTCTGCCTCATAGTGGAAAGCCTTCTCTGCCCAGGCCCAGGCCTCGGTCCCACCATCGGCCTGGGCAGAGGAAGCCTGCCTAGCTCCTCCTAGTGGTCAGACAGATGAACCGCAGACCAACAGGTGCTGTTGTTACACCTTCAAGACCTGAGGGGAGGGTGTGCAGCCTGGCTGCAGTGTGTGGGGAAAGATGGAGCCAGGACCCTCACTGGAGGTGTGGGTGCCTCAGGATCCAGCCTTCCCAAGAGCCCCCAACAGCCAGGGCCAAGGCATCTGTAGACTTCCTTACCAGGAGCTACCCTCACCTTCCCCAAACCCCACCACACAGGAGACACTGAGCAGTCTAACTTCTCCTTGCTGTCCTGCCGCAGATATTCCCTTTCCTCTGACCCTAGGTCAGCGGTCACTCATCTGTGCTCCCAGTCAGCAGCACGCCACAGGTGGACTTCTCAGAGTTGGAAGCTAAGCTACTGTGGTATGGTGGCCCCAGGGCCCCCTGTTCAGGCGTGTACTGAGGGGTGCGAGTCCCTGTGGCTGGGTCAGGTTGGGAGCTCCCTTCCCAGCCTGCTGAATGAGTCATCTCATGACAAAGCCAAGCGACTAGTGTGAAAAGTAAGAGTCCTGTGGTGCTGAGGAAACAGGAAGTGTGGGGGCCATGCTGGTTGGCCCTGGAGAGAGCTAGGCCCCATCTGCCCCCACCTCCCCTGAGTTAGGGGGCTAAAGGGGCCCTTCCTGTGTCTGCAACACCCTCTAGAACTGAGGTATTGGACAGAGGGTCCAATTTAGGACCTGCCGTCTGGGGGCTGGCAGAGGATAGTGCTCCCAAGGGGGGGTGGGGGATAGGCCAACTCCTCAGGCTGTGAACACACTGGAGACAATAAGTCTTGGAGCCTTAGGGTAACCAGGGGTCTCTGACTGGTCAACAAAAAGGCCCAAAGGCCCTCTTAACTTGGGCAAAGACTGGAGGTCTGGTGGGCAGAAACTGGTTTCAGTGGTCCCCTTCCTGGAGGCCCATGATTTCTGACCACTATGCTCCTTTGTTTTGACAACTGGGCTGCCCACATGCAATGAATTGTGGCTCTGCTTACCTGCAGGCCCTAACATCGGGCCTCTCCTCCCTTTGCTTTCACATTCACCCATCCTCCTTCTCATTTTCAGCACAAGGCCAGTCAGCCCCCCCACGGTGTCCCCCAACTCTCTCCTCTCTACGAACATTTCAGCAGCCCACATCCCACACCTGCGCCGGCCGACATCAGCCAGAAACAAGGTATGGGCCTGGGATGGGAAGGAGCCCCGTGAGAGTCAGAGTCTGAAGGCCAAGTCCCTGGCTTCTGAGGGGACCAACTAGCTGGGCCCATTTTGCAACTGGAGAAACTGAGGCGGTGCAAACCCAGTGCCCAAAGAAAAGGATGCCAGTGGGCTGGGAGAGGTGGTCTCAAGCGCACATTTAAAGGCTTCAGGTTGAAGCAGGAGCCTGAGTTTTGTGGGGACCCCTCCAGTACAAGTATGGGAACCAGCATATACACGTGGCTGATAGCTTCTAAATCCTGCAGCCTCCCCCTGCCCCCAGTGAGAAAATGGAAAGTGGTGGTTGTGATGACTGAGTCACTTCAGGCTCAGACAAAGTCATTCTGAGATCCACCACTGTCGCTGTGGGAAACCTGCTGATTCAACCCACCAGGCTCCCCCCAAACCAGGAGGCCTGCCTCCTGCCCAGAAAGCTGGGCCAGAGCCCCCGCAGCAGACCGGCAGTGGACCACTCCAGAGTGACTTCAGCCCTGGCCAGCCAGGTGTCCTTAGGCAAGTCACCCAGCCTCTCTGCCCTTGGCTCCCTTGCCTGCAAAAGGGGCTCTATCACGCTGGGACAGTGGGGAGCAAATGAGGCTGGTCTTCTAGTAAAGGGGGATGGGATCTTAGTGGCTCTAGGATGGATTCACTGGCTGAAATGGCTGGAGGATCAGGCTAACCCGTTTACTGGGTCCATCTCCACTGCAGTTCACAGGCCCCTACAGACCCCTGACCTCTCTGGCTTCTACTCTCTGACCTCAGGCAGCATGGGACAGCTCCCCCACACTGTGAGCTGGTAAGTGTGGGCTCGGTGGGAAGGGACACTTGTCACAGGTCCTACCTGCTCTTCCATCCCCGCTCCACCCTCTGTGCGGAGCATTCTGCTGTGAGTGCAGGACAGACTCCAGAGGCTGGTCTGCTGCTCTAGCCCCAGTTGGCTCTGGACCAGGGCTCCATGGGGTCCCTTGACTTAGGGATATTCCCGGACAGCTTGATTGTTGTTAGGTGCTGTCGAGTTGGTTCTGACCCATCGCAACCCTGTGTATGGTTTCCGAGCTTGAAATGCCGATCTTGCAGTTCAAACTGACTTTGCAATCCTGATAGGCCTGGGGAATTCTGGGCTGTTCGGGAGCCTCCAGAGCCATTGGAACACGAGGAAGGTAAGTTCAGTCTGAGTAGGAAGGTAGCAGCACGAATAACCACCAGAAAGGCTGGTACTTAGCTGGCTGGTGGACAGGGGAACAGTCCTACTGCTGGTTGGTTCCTTCCTTGGCTGAACTGTTAGAGGGGCAGTGTGAGGCTGATTGTCAACTTAGAAAGACGTATCTTAGAGTCTGTGCTGTGAGTTAGACATTGGGTTGCTAAACTGCAAGGATGGCAATTCAAATCTATCAGCCGCTACTCGGGAGAAAAAATGAGGTAGGCTGATCCTGTAAAGATTCAGTCTCGGAAACCCAAACTCTTAGGGCCACTGAGTCGGAATCAACTAGATAGCAGTGGGTTTAGTTTGGTATGGGAGATCTTCGAGTCTGCTGAGGTTGAGCCAGGAAAGCCACCCTTACCCCCTTTCCCCCAGTCCAGTAGGCCTGTGTGCCATAGCTAGATCCTGGGCAGGCTCCTTGGCCCTTTTGCTCATTAGCTAGAGTGACCCAGCCTCTCTGGGCTGTGGCAGTCACCCAATAGCAAGAAAGCTTGGCTTCCCAGGAAGATGGGGCCTCCCTGCCCCTTTTCACTCACCCTCTACCCATGTTCAGCTCACTCCTGTTTCCAGATTCTTCTTAGACAAAGCCCCATTCTGAATACAAGGTTACCCCTTCCCAGGATCAAAGCAGCATGGGATTGCTCAGATCTCAGTCTGACAAGGCCAAGCAGATCTGCAGCAGTCTCTTGAAAATGACCCCAAAGCCAGTAGCTCTAAAAAGACCAAAGGACTTGAGCTTCCAGGAGGTATTAATCCTGGCATAATTAAGGCAGGAAGGGAACTTCAGGCACATGGCTGAGCCCTGCTGTGTGCCATGCAGCGTTCAGCACTGCTGAAGCCTGATCCTTAGGTCCTTGACCTCTCAAAGCTCAGTCCACCTAGTGGCTAAACCAGTCAAGAGGCCAGGTTATTGTAGGGTACTGATCACTTCTTGTTTGGGGACCATAGGAGCCCAGAGGAGCACCTCACCCAGCTGGGAAGAAGCATCATTTACCCAGAACTTGAAAGATGATTAGTTGAAGTAGGCAAAGTGGGGCCAAACAGTGTAAACAGTGGGTGCAAAGACCCCAGAACAGGATTCAGCCTGTACTTAAAAGAAACCATCAGGAGGCTACCCAAGAGGCTAGAGCACAGAGATGGGGAGACACGAGGCTGGAGGCAACCTGAGGGCCTGCTAAGCTGTGTCTCAAGGGGAAGGGGCCTTGTCCATCCTTTAAGCACCAGTATCAATAGCTGACTGGACGGCACACTGCACTTTACAACCAGCAGCAGAAGGAAACAGGTCAATGTAGTTTGCCCCCTGGTGGCAGTCAGTTGCTTGCAGCACGCACTTGTCTTTGCTGCGGAGGGACTGAGCTTCATCTGTGGGTAGTCCAAGTCAAGGTCTGTCACATCTCATTGGGTCAGGTCCTTCCCCACATCTTACCAGCAGCTAGACCGCTAACAGCTGTCTTTCCCAATCACAGGCCCAGCCCTCCTCTCTACCCCCTCTCCCCTTCCTGCGGATATAGACAGCACTTCCCTGCCCCCACTGCAGCCCCTGGCGCCCCCTACCCCAGGTGAGTCCCCTACCCTGCAGCCAGGCTCCTGCCCGCTTCCTGTCGCCCAGGCTTCAGTGCCCACACGAGGCCATGCCCAGACCATTGCTTGCCCTGTTGCTAGTTGTTTGTCCATCCGTCCGTGTGTCATTCTGCAGCCCCCCCTGCTGCCTTATGCCTGAGAGCAGAACCAGTGGGAACACAAGAGAGGCCTAAGTCCAGCCTTCTGTCCATCAGTCACAGAGCACCAAGGACCAGGCATGAGCACATGCACCAGCAGCTTAGTGGGGTTGTGGGGAAGTCCCAAGGCGACCCCAACCAGGCCTGAAGACTCAAAGAGCTCTGTGAAAAGGGTGACATCTCCTGGGAGAGTAGTAGATGTGGCTGGCTGGGGATGTGATTGAGGGAAGATAGGGGAAAAGATGGGATGAGACATGTTGGCAGGATGGTTGTGCAGGCCCCAGGCTGAGGGGTGGGGGGACTCCTGTAGACATGGCATGAGCATTCAGGCGTCTGAAATAAGTCACTCTGGTGCTGTGTGGAAGAGGAGCTGGAGCTGTCAAGCAGGAGAGGAGGCCCACGCTCTGAGGGTGAGCTAGGGACAGGTGCGGTGAGAGGAGGTCCACAGGCAGCCACAGGCTGAGTGAGCTGGGGACAGATGTGGAGATTCAGAAGCTGTTTTAAGATTTATTTTGTAGCACCTGGATGGCATCTATGTGGGGGTGTGCGCTGTGTCTGTGTGATATGTCAGGAGCAGGTATGTGTATCTCTTTGTACTTGTGTTCAGGTCAGTGGGGAAGGCTATCTGTTCACCTGTGTCTCAGTGTACTGTGCAGGGGCCTCCAGGTGTGTCCACAGGTCTGGCCCTGACATACCTGGCTCAGTGTGAACTCTCCTTCTGCCTCTAGGTTCACCCACCCGTCCCTGATGCTAGGCTCTGGAGTACCTGGTCACCCTGCAGCCATCCCACACCCGGCCATTGTGCCCCACTCAGGAAAGCAGGAGCTACAGCCCTATGACCGAAGCTTGTGAGTGAAAAGGCACATGGCAGGGGGGAAGAGTTGTAGTCAGGGCCGGTAAACAGACCTGACTCCCATCTAGTCAACAAGGTGGGCTCCATGGCCTTTCTTCCCACTGGGCCCAAGGCCTGCTGCTGCCTGGGAACTTCGTGGATTGCCAGAAGAGAGGCCCCTGGTCAAGCCTTCTCTAGTGAAAGCCCAACAGTCCCTGAGCTCTGACCACTGTTTTTTGACAGACTGGGGGTGCGGGGTGGAAACAAAGATTTGGTTTGAGCCAAGGGGAGGGACTGAGAAGTTGTCCACAGGAATTTCCCACCTGGCTCCAATATTCCTGTACAGAACAGTTACTTAGCTCTCTGCTCACTCCTTTTGGGGCATTTATAAAAGCCTAGCACCCATGCACTCACAATCAGACTGGACCCACACTAGAGGTGTGGTATGAGGTGGGGGCTCCTGAGTGATGTGGAGATGTGCCCCTTAGGAAGAGCCAGGCAGAGGCCAAGGTAGAGAAGGAGGCCAAGAAGCCAACTATCAAGAAGCCACTGAACGCCTTCATGCTGTACATGAAGGAGATGAGAGCCAAGGTCATCGCAGAGTGCACGCTCAAGGAAAGCGCTGCCATCAACCAGATCCTGGGACGAAGGGTGAGACCACGGGCAGGTGGGTGGCCCCTGAGTAAGTTCACCCTGGTGCAGCCTGCTGATTCCTGGTTTTCTCCACCCCACCCCCACTGCAGTGGCACGCACTGTCTCGGGAAGAGCAAGCCAAGTATTATGAGCTGGCCCGCAAAGAGAGGCAGCTGCATATGCAGCTCTACCCAGGCTGGTCGGCGCGGGACAACTATGTGAGTGGCCAGTGGAGCAGGGGCGGGTAGGGGAACCTTCCAGAAGCCATGCCCCAGTCGCCATGTCAGCGAAGAAGGTAGGACTGTTGTCCTCAAGGCACAGAGGAGGAATACCATTTAATTCCATTTTGATGTTCCCTGGTACCACAGTTGAGGACTTCTATGTTAATGAGCATCTTAGGAATGAGATGGCCAACTGCAAAAGGAGCAGTTGAGTCTGGATGTGACCAGAACATAGACCAGCCTCAGCACCGTATTTCCACCTGGCCATTAGGCTGCTCATAGCTGGGGGAGGGCCTAACTGGGCATATCACCAGCTGGCCATTCTCTGAGAATGAGTTTGACCTTTGCTGATACTGCTAAATTCAGCGTGTGGGATATCTTTGATCTATTTCAGCTTCTAGTATTGGCAATCTCTGGAGTTCCTGGGCCAGTGGGCCTTACCTGCCTCGGTAGTCAGAGAGCATCTGTCTTCCTTGCTTGTACATGTGCACCTTGAGTTTATGGTGCTCTTTTTATCGCTCGGAAGTGATTATAGGATCCACACTGCACTGATATGACCGCAACTGACTGCATTATGGAACATGATTACATTATAGCCACAGACATGTTGTTAAGTGCCGTGGAGTTGGTTCCGATTCATAGCGACCCTGTACAGGGTTTCCGAGGCTGTAAATCTTTACGGGAGCAGAAAGCCTCATCTTTCTCCCGTGGAACAGCTGGTAGTTTCAAACTGCTGACCTTGTGGTTCCCAGCCCGATTCGTAACCACTATGCTACCAGAGTTCCTTAGCCGCAGACATAGGGGCAAGAATTCCAACACAAATTTGAGGTGGGGGCAGTGTGGGACACAATTCAATTAGTAACACTTGGCTGGCTCAGATGGGACTGCTCCCAAAGGCACGTTCATATCCTACTCTCCACCCCACAATGCACTCACACATAAGGCTGTTACCTAATATGACTCTACCACATGCATGACCAAAAGGGGAGGAATTCATTTCCTTCCATTCAAACTGGAGACCAGAGGTGGGGAGAGAAGAGTTGCTCCCCGACGCACCCCATAGTAGCTTCACAAGAATTACAGTCAAGAACCACAAGAACCACAAGGGAGAGCACTGCAAGAATCCCAGGGGCTAGTAGGCTAGGCAGCAGGCTGTAGCTATTGCAATGCCTCACAGGGGTCACTATGGCCTCTCAGAGCTAAGTCAGTCTTTCTCCTTTTCTTCTCTGCAGGGAAAGAAGAAGAGGCGCTCAAGGGAAAAGCATCAAGAATCCAACACAGGTGAGGCCTTCCCTCAGCAGTAAATAGGCTCATTTCAAGAGCGTCTCTACTGTGACTCAGAGGGAGGGGCCATGTACCCAGCTGGCCAGAATCCTTAAGGGAAATAAGACCTGTGCCTCACAAGTCAGATCTCTGCAAGGAACAGCTACATTTGATCCCAGAGGTTAGCTCATGTCACAGATGGTGTATGCTTCCTACCCACTTCCACTGCTCCATAGGAAACTAGTGAAGAATAGACTGAGTAGAATTCAATGTGTTCCCCCAAACAATGCATCCTGGTTACTTACTGCTGAGATGGGCAGCAGGTGATGGATGGAGGCTGAGCCAGGCCCTGTACCTAGCTTGTCGGCAGTTTCTCTCACACCCCCAGTTGTCATGGCAGGGCAAAGTGCTCTGTGTAGAGGGCCTCAGGAGCCCAGAACCCACTGCAGGCCTCCTTCCTGTGGGTGAATTCTTGCTCCCAACCCGAGAGTAAAGATTCTACACCCTGACTTTCCCAGCTACGCTCTTCTCACACAGGGAAGCTGGAGGCTGTGGCAGGGCCTCGTGCCATCTAGAAAAGCATGTGAAACAGGTGTAAACTACAGCACAAGGGGTTGTGGGTTAGGCAGACTAGCATTGGCAAGAGTAAAGAAAAACTGGATCAAATGGCAAGGAGTTGGGGAGGTGCCTGGAAGCAGAAAAGGCTGGATCCCCATGAACCTCCCTGGACTCTGCTGCAGCCTCCATGCTACAAGGGGCCCCAAAGGTCACAGAGGAGCCACCCTGACAGAAGCCCCAACCATCACTACTCTTCCCACTGTCTCTCCTGTCCCAGCTAGAGGCACCTTTCCTGACACTTGCTGTGGATGGAGAGGCCTCTGCCTGTGGGAGCTGTGGGGTGTCTAGTGACAGCTAATACTGATGTTGCCTCTTCTTTCTGGGCCCTGCTCTGCTCTGCTGCCTGCCTGCTCGCCCTCTGCCCTCTGCCCCTCTGGCATGTCTGAGCAGACCCTGGCTCGCCTAAGAAATGCCGTGCTCGCTTTGGCCTCAACCAGCAGACGGATTGGTGTGGTCCGTGCAGGTGGGTTTGTCCCCACCGCCCTTTCCCTCTGCTTCAAGCTGCTTCCCTGACTCTGCACAGGTTCTGCTGGGCCTGCAGCCCTCTCTCGGCTCTCCAGCTCCCTAGTATACCCAGCAGATTGGGGAACTCAGGCCTCCTAAGAATGTGAGTGAGCACAGCTTGTAAGAACACTTGGGTCTAGGTAAGAGGAATGGTAGTACAGAAACAGAATTAAGTCTTCCTAATACACTGGAAGTAGGGAAAAGGAAAGGTGCTAGGTCCTCCCTCGGTAGACAGAGCTCTCAGGACGACTCTGGTGCGCTACACCCCTCTGCTCCCAGGCCTCAAGCTAGTTCATCAGAGCACACCTTCCCCTCATGTTGGGAGCCAGATCTGTACAGTCCTGAACTTTGGTCTCTCATATTTGAGGAAAACAAGTAACTATAGTAGCCAACAACCTGGTTGGTGGTCATTGTTACTGTCTTCTTGTACCTACTGATAGTACCTGGGTATCTGCTTAACAAGAGAGCTGCAGAAATTGGGGAGAGAATTTGGGCTGTGCTAACCAAAGGGTCATACTTGGACTCTGTGGCACTCAGCCTGTGAAAAATACACCCACCAAGTGGTTAAAATTGCCTACTTTAGGTTTAAGCCCGGTCTAGTAGGGCTGAAGGTATTCTAGGTAATAAGGTCACTTGTTATAAGGAATACTTGTGTCCAGCCCACAGAGTGCCCACTATGCTCCCCTGCTGAAGAGCAGACAGGAACTGGATATGTATGTTATATGTGTGATGAAAGGTAACTTGTCCTCAGAGGTGGCTCTATTCTATCCAAGAATCCAAGGGCTCCAGGTCAGACCATGCTTCTTGGAAGCATACTGTGGCCCAGAGAACTTCAGGGTGGTTCTAGAGCCCCTGAGAAGAGTCCATTCATTTCTTCTTTTGCTTTTTCTGCTCCTAGCCCAAGCCCAGGAAGCTACCACCTTTACAATCCCTTTGCCTTACTGTAGATCTGAGCACAGGAACCACAGACTCAGAGGCCCGACTAGGGAATGATTCCCTGTCTTGAGGCAGCCTACAGGCCTGGTTAGAAAAAGTTCCTGTGCGCCACCTTGTGGCTAGGCACAGAAGAGCTGCAGTGCTCACTTAACTCAGGGCATGGGCATATCACAGTCATTGGGAAAGGGGTTAAGAGGCCAGCTAGGCCTGTGCAAGAACAGCATTTTCTGGTTGTGGTGTATGACTATGAATTCACCCTCTTGTTTACAGATAACTCTCTTCACTATTCCTAGGAGGAAAAAGAAATGCATTCGGTACTTACCCGGAGAAGGCCGCTGCCCCAGCCCAGTTCCTTCCGATGACAGTGCTCTAGGCTGCCCCGGGTCCCCAGCCCCCCAGGACTCGCCCTCATACCTCCTGCTGCCCCACTTCCCCACAGAACTGCTTGCTAGCCCTGCAGAGCCGGCCCCTACATCACCAGGTCTCTCGGCTGCTCTCAGTCTCCCAGCCCACTGGGCCCCCACAGGCTCCCTGCAGCGCCCCGCAGAGTACACAGGTACAACAACAGGAATCTCAGAGACAGGCGACCCAGCAGGCCCGCCCCCCGAGAGGAGGCGACAGAGCCCCAAAGCACAGGGAAACCGGCCTGGGGCCCCGTTGACTCCCTCTCAGGGTTCAGGCCCTGGGGATTTCAGAGGCTGCACAACTTCTGCCTGAACCTGGGGCCACCGATTCAAACTGCTCAGAATGGTGGGGATCAGATCTGTGAGGATCAGACGTGTGCTAATTTGGCACTTCACTGAGAGCATCCCTGTACCTGTGGTAGCTGCTGCTTACCGTCGGTCTTGCTGCCTCCCTTACACTTTTACTCTAGCTGAGATGTGGGCTAGATTGAGCTCAGCCTGCATCCCACATTGCCCCCCCACCACACCCTCCCTATACTAGACACTTCATGGACTAAGAATGAGCTTGTTTATCAAACAGCATGCGAGCAAGGTCAGAATCACAAAGCTCAAGATGACAACACTTCTCTCTTCAGGGACTGCAAAAGCCATGTTTCAGAAAGCCAGCTGTAATTCCTAAGCTGGGCCAGAGGAAGCCTCTTTTTGCGTTCTCAGAAGCTTGCAAGAGAAAAGAGAAGCAGGCAGCTCAGGAGGGAACCCGATAGGCATCACCTAGGCAACCAGGGATAACCTGACACTACCCCCCCTCCTCAGGCAAGTGTGGATGGTGGGTGGTATCTGGCTCTAGTTCAAATTACTTGGATTTGTTTCCTGAGAAGCCTATCTGCCTAAGAAGCCCCAATACCAAGGTCCCCTGCAGTGGCTGCAATCAATAGTCCAACGAATTTTAGGTCAAATGTGGTACAGAGAACTTTTATTCACAAATTCATTTCCAGTCCACCCATGTCTAGCCAGCTCTTGGGCAGCTGTGAGAGATAAGTCATTCCCTTGACATCTGCCCTATTTTAAAGCACACCCCAGACCTCACAAGTACCAGTGCCTATCTTCTAGCATCAAACCAGAGCAGCTTCAGTTTGTCTATGGAGCTGCAGGAAGGGCAGGGGCAAATGGAGGGCCATTACAACCAAAGCAAGGAGCCCAGAAGACCTCTAGTGGTGGGCAATGGATTTTCACCACTGCCTACGTTAACCCATTTCTGAGCCAAGCTTTGACCCTGAGCCTGAAAAACAAAGTCTTTTTTAATTTAATTTTATTGTTTTATTTTTTGCATCCTTTTCACTGTACATAGTCTGAATCCAAAGAAAAACGGGCTGTCCATTATTTCCCCACACACCCTTTAAGAAAAGCTTTTAGTTCCTACTTTAGCCACTGGTTTCTCAGAATCCAAAGATCCTATCTAGTGTAGCACTGTAAGAAGTCTTGAGAAAAAAGGACAATTGTAGTGTTTAAAATATTTTTGTACTGTTAATTCATCATCACAGAATCAAACTTTTTTAACATAAGAATAAAGATACTTTTTACTGGGTTTCCTTTTCAAAGCTTGACCCTGAGGAGTAAGCTGTTTCAGTCACAAAGCATGACACTCTTTTTTTCTTCACAGCCACAAAATTTAGGTTTGTTTCCTACTACCTGGTACAGGTGTTTCCAAAATTTCTAGCCTGCGGAAGACAGGGATACCCTTGTTACCTCCCCTAAAAGGGCTTTTGGGCCTTGCCCCAAATCTGGGAGCTGGGCTTATTTGAAGCATAAGCTCCTACAGGCCAGCGTGCTCCCCAGTGCTCATTTGGGGAATAAAAGAGTTGGAAGCTGCCACCCACAGACCCATAAGGAGATCTGCTACAGGTAGACATGGCCCTTAGGCTCCACTTCCCTTCCCTTTGAGAGCAGTGAGGAAAGTTCACATAGATAGCCCATTTTAAGGAAAGCAGTGGTAGCACATGGATTACAAACTGGGCTGCTAACAAAGGTCAGTAGTTGGAATTTATCAACCACTCCATGGGAAAAAGACAAGGCTTTCTGTTTCCATAAAGATTTATACAGGGTAGCTATGAGTCAGAACCGACTAAACCACCAAGGAAAACAAGCAAGTCTTTTATAACCTGGTTGTTGCCATTTGCCATAAAGTCGGTTCCAACTCAGTGACCCTATATAGGGTTTCCGAAACGTAAATCTCTGCAGGAGCAGAAAGCCACATCTTTCTCCCTTGGAACAGCTGCTGGAGTCAAACTGCCATCCTTGTGGTTCGCAGTCTCCTACAGAGCCAGCATGCTCCCTCCTTACAATCCTGTATAGTAAAATTCAAAGGAATGATTGTTTTAATAACCTTTTCCCCAAAGCTGTATTTGGTAAGGCACTTTTGTTTTGTGTTTCATATTTATAAGAACTTGAGTTTGAAACATCTATAACATTGTTTTTCAACATGCTAGAGTGTACACTGACCTCATGAGACCTGTCCTGAATGTCAGTATCATAAAACCACCTCAAGAGTCCAATCAACCATTCAATACAAGTGTTGGGCAAGAAGTGCTACAGCCAGCCACTGGGTCAACAAGGCATTCAACCTGCATTGCCACATACACTGCAAGTTATATTTTTAAGTTATAAATAAGTCATCTTCTAGAGCTATGTCTATTTAGAAGTAGAACACTGGAAGGTGTCATCTCAGATTCGCTTCTCTCAGGGAGGGTGTTAGAAGAGATCAGCCATTCCCTTGACATCTGTCCCACTTTAAAGAATTCCACTCTGGCTACTGGCCTAGTTGTTTCAGAAAACGACATTCTCTCCAGGGTTTACGCAAGAGTGGGTTGTTGCATCTGATTTGGTGTCTCGTTTAGCGAGCACTGGGTACATGAACAAAGCACCCTCTGTGTATGGGAGAGGACAGAAGGGGGCTATGGTAACTTGTTAAAAATCAGACCAGCTTTTTAAACAAAATTGTCTTCAAAGAAAAAACCCTTCCAAATTACACCAGTACATTCCTATGAAGACAGAGGGTAATCTGAGCTTGCAACTTTTAAATCCCAATTAAACCACCGCAACCCCCCACCCTCACCAATAGCCAACAACCAATCCTGTTTTATGACACGTTAGAGGCCAACATACTCCAGCCTCCCTTACAGTCCCTGACCCACTCCCAAACAACCAGCAGACTGCAGCTGCTCCCCTTACCCTTGTAAGTTAAGTAAATATGGTGATGGTTCAGCCCAGCAAGTTAGGAGGGTCTTCCTGTGCCTCCCAATTTGGAGGTGTTTTCTCCCTTTTAAAGGAGGCCCTGTGGCTAGATCATCTTGCTGAGCTCTTAACTTTGCAATGGTTCCCCTGGTCCTGTGTTCCTTTTGGCTATAACCCCACATCGACTAAGCCGCACTGCTGCACAGCTCTATTCAGGGTACAAGAAGCCACAGCCAGATGTGCAGAAAAGCAGAATGGTTCTTTACATTCCGTTCCAGAGAGGAAGGGAATCAGTTTCCTGCATCTGTTTCTAAGAAAACAAACAGCACAGAAGGGGCAAGAGTAATAATAATGTCATGTTAAACTCCCACTTGTGTAGCTATATATCAAAGTAGAATACTTTAAGACCCAAAACTAGTTTATAAAAAAAAAAAACTGAACTGGCTTTTCTTTCAAGTTAAAAATGCTACTTTAACACAGACTTTTCAAAACGCTGACACCATTTCAGTCTCTTAAGAACTTTACAAATGCGCCAGGGACTTTTGAAACTAAGCTCGTCTCCCAGTAGAACCCGGTTCCAAGGTTACATCAACTCCCCCAAACCCAACTATTCCAGTCACTTTTTGCTCCAGATCTCAGAATACGCTGTGAGCATCTTTAACTCAGGCTCCTGGGCTCTTTGAGGGTCTTGAGAGGCCAATAAACATTGACTGATCTACTTGCCCACAACTGGTAGGAGCCTTAACTTCAACTTCAAAAACTGGGAAGACCACAGATGAGCATGTTATACTAATCAGGTAAGAAATTCAAGTTGCCAAGGATAGCATGGGATTGGGCACAGAGTTAACTGTAAAGACACAAATTGTCCTGGGGGAAGCAACCATCGTATCCCTAACAGTTCTCAGGAGTTAGGTCACTGTATCAGTACATGGTAAGGGACCAAAATCCAAACTAAGGCCACTTCCATCAAATCAATTCCAACCTTGTATAGGGTTTCCAAGGCTGTAGATTTTTATAGAAGCAGATAGCCTCACTGTTGTCCTGCAGAGCAGCTAGTGTGTTTGAACTGTTGACCCTGTAAGTCCAGTGCAACAACTGAATTACTAGCTCAGGATGATATTTGCAAGTTCATCAGGGGTTCTAGACCAGGTCTTCTTTTCATTCATGTGTTCTCTCATTTATCTGAAGCCTTGTTCTTTCAAGAATGTACAATGTCGGGGGAAGAAAATAGGAATGAAGAGAAGTCAGGTTCCATGCACCAACAGTCCCTCCCACAACAAATAAATAAAGTCACTCTATAGATCCCTCTTGAAGAGTTTTCTGAGTGCAGCTCTATCTCTGTGTCCCTGCCCTTTTCATTCACAAAACTATGTGCAGAGCAAATGAAGCAGATGCACTCAAGGTGAAATGGAAATGGCACACTTAGGACAGTAAGGACACTTTCATACCACCTGGATGAAAGGCATTGGAAGTGAGATCACTTAAGGAATAGGCTCAGAGTGAAAGTAGAGGCCAGGACATAACAGACTGTTGTTGAGTGCTGTCGAGTGGGTTCCCACTTACAGTGACCCTGTATAGGGTTTCCAAGGAGCGGCTAGAGAATTTGAATCGCTGACCATGTGGTGCTCAGAAATACTTGCTGGAAATTGAAGGTTGAGGGGTGGGTATAAGAAGGGCATGAAACCCAGAGATTGTTGCCAACAATTCTATTCCTCTCACAAACTGCCTCCCAGTACTGGCAAAGGCTAGATGTCACCAACAATGCAAAGTACTATCAGACAACAAGTATGACACCCACAAGTTAACAAACTATATACTCCAACTAAGTCCCACCTTGGAAACCATGGCCCAAGAGTACTTTTTTTAAACCACCAACAATTATCATAGCCACTGGTAGCTCAACAGGAAGGATAACATGCAGTCTACCCTGCTTAGGTGTTCAAACAGCTCCATCTTGGGACA